ATCGGAGAACGAGCTTTCCCGGGTAAAATCGGCTTTTCCGAAAAATTGAAGGGTGATGGACACAAACGGAGGTCATATTCGGATTTACCGCCTAAATATACATAAGAATCACCGGATCTCGACCGAGAGATATTTTTGTTGTTATTTTTTACATGTCAAAATGGGGTGGAGAAAATCTTCAATCTTAAAAGCGCCAGAAATTACATTTACCTTAAGTTAAGTTTCTCGGTCAGGATGTTGATATTTTGTTTAACTAAGATGTAAAATGAAATCAACGACCCAAAAATCATAAGATCCAACGCCTCTTATGACGGTTTAGTGCACTTTCGAATAAAGTTCCGTTAAACCCAGTCTGTGGACCACAGAACGGCGCCCGGTCGAATGTGTGGCAATAAGCCAGGGGGTAATTCCGGCGCCATATTGAATTTCCGCTAAAGCGCGGGCAAACGCGGCATTTTAAAATTTCGAACTTCAAAAGTCGTATTCGGAGGGAAATACGGCTCGGAAAAATCTGCAAAAATCACTGCGTTATCGGGAGACACTGTAGTTTCTGAAAATGCAAGAATTAGAAACAGGTTAACAAGCTAATTGTGAGAGGCACACCTTATAGAAAACTAAAGGGCGCGGATCTCCTTCCTTCAGTGACAGACCTGATTCCACATAGTGGTGTATCCTCCTATCTTTGCGGCTTACCTACGCTCACACGGAATCAATTCGTATCACTGGAGGAGCTGTTGATAAAACATAGTTGACGAAATACCCTGAAATTCACCTACAAAGTGAAAATCCAAGTATTTGGACAACTACACCTTTCGAAATAGAGTGGGAGAGCGAAAATTAGCAAACTGAAATATAAATACTAAATGATTAAATACTAACAGGGAAATGAAGAAACACAGAGAAATACGTTTCACTCAAAGACATATGTATTTTAATAATTACATATCTTAAGTGCAGATGGCACAAAAGAAAAAGATAACAAAATATATAAAAAACAAAAGAAAACATGGACAAAAAATAAGAGAAGGAACTACCTACGTCACCAAAACAATATGAAAAGTGATTAAGGAACAATTGTTCCCAGAATCCAGGGTGGAAAAGCTCATGGCTAAGGCTATTGCAAAAACTCAGAAATATTCGGTCAAAGAGCAGAGAGGACCACTGGCCACTGGCCGAGGCTTCGGCGACGGTTGTCCCTCAAGATTCATAGTTGGAGGTTGAATATCGAATGAACCTTGAATTCGAAAATCATCCAGCATCCGAGCAAAGCTCGGTATTGCGAAAAAGCAATTATTGATTATCAACTAATAGCTAAGCAAGTAATGCGTTCGAGAAGATTTGAGAAAAAGATTGATCTTTACCTAGGTACATGTTAAAATTTGGAAAAGAGATAAAATTGAATAAAGGGGTTTTTATTTTAAAATTGTCAACGCTGCACATGTCCTCAATATGTTTTAGTTAAGGAAAAAGAAAGAAAGAAGGAGAGAAAGAAAGAAAAAATAATCCTCCTTCCCCAATGGAGACAGAAGGGACAATTGCCGTTCTGAAAAATATCAGATCCAAAAAATATAATAGGTAGTTTAGGTGGATACGTAGCTCTTCAATAATTAGGAATGTTACAAAAAGGAAACTTTAGACTCTCCGAATATGACTTTAGAAGGCGCAAGGGTACCAACAAATCGGCAATATTGCTGCAATATTTCGTGTAAGGCGGGTTCTTAGTATTTTAATATTGCACCAATATTAGCAATATTAGAAATCCAACGTCAGGTATCGCTTGCTGATTCGAAGATTGTCACTATGTTGACACAATATTGGTTATACAATGTTGGTAAAATAATACCGTCATAAAATGTTTTTTTTAATATTGCAGTAATATGGTAGTTTTAACATTGCCTCAATATTAAAAAAAACACTGACCATAGGCTTCTGCCTATAATATTAGGAAAACAAAATTGCTTAAATAATATCGAGACGATGCTATCTCTGTAATACGGTGGTAATATTATTATGTTAACATTCAAATAACGTTAGAACAACAAACATTCCAGGCTTCTGTTCGTAATATTGTCATAATATTGACATAATGTTGGATATCTAAAACTGCTGAATTGATATTATGCTAACATTATTTTTGCAACATTGTGGTAATATTCGCACTTTAACATTGTCACAAGATTAAGAAAATAACCATTTAAGGCTTCTGTCTGCAATATTGCCTTAGTATTGGCGCAATATTGGGCAAACAATATTCCTAAAATAATATTATCCTAACATTATTTTTTTCATATTGTAGTAATATTCGCATTTTAACATCGCTACAGTATTAAGAAAATAAACATTTCTGGCTCCAGTTTTTAATATTGTCATAAGATTAACACAATTTTGTGCGCGGCGAGCACAATTCGACCGCGTTTGCTATTTCCGCCACCAGGGCGTGTTCGCCGCGGATCTTCCGTTGCGGTCCCTTTAAGGGCAAATTAAAGGGCAAAAACTACGACCTTTTGCTTTTTGACGTAATAGGCACATGATCCATAGGCGCCTTACCCATCTTACCGATATTCATAGGCCAAGGGCTCAAATGGAGCCTTTTGGCAACGGTCCGCGCGCGACCGCCCCGTCAGTGGGGCTGGTTCTCATTTCGCCTGGGCAGTGCCCGTTGTGGGATGCAATTTAAGTGCTGAAGCCAGTGAAAACAGTTAAGGAAGTAGCTGGCTTAGGTAAGTTCCTCGGCACCCCTATGTTCCGTGTGCCTACCTTAGGCATTGCGACCAATACGACGCCAAGAAATTACTTCCGCGAGGATGGCAGGTATTTCGGCGCTCTATCACCTACCTTGCCTCAGAGATAAGACAAATGTTTTACCAGTATAGAGGCAATTCTGGTACGACAAGTCTAAGCCATCGTTATGATCACAATATTGGTAGAACAAGCTTGGAATAATGTTATTGACCTAACATTGCCACAATCTTGGAGATTCAAGCTTGTCTCAGAGGTAAAATAAATGTCCTGCCAACATTATTGCAATATTTTTACAACAAGTCTATGGCAATATCATGATCACAATATCCGCTGAACAAGCTTGGAGCAATATTATTAACATAACATTGTCACAATATTGAATATCAAAGTCTGTCTCGGAAATAAAATAATGTCCCACCAATATTTTGGCAATATTGTAAGGATAGGCTTGGAGCAGTTTTACAAACCTAACATTTGCACAATCTTTGGGCTCAAGCTTGTCTTAGAGGTAAGATAAATGTCCTGCCAACATTGTGGGAACATTAGCAAGATAAGCTTGGCAACTATATTCAAATGTGAAAAAATGTCGTACCAAGCTTGTACCAAGGTCAAATTTCCGATTGGGATGAAAAAGTCCTGTTGAGCTACTCACCCAATGTGGGGGAAAAGTGATTTATCATGAATTTTATCCCATCACCGCCTATCGATTTGATCATAGTCCAATATGCTTCGGAACCGACGTCTCTCCCTGCTTTCTTTATGATCATGATCGCGGTTTTAAATGCTTTTGAGATTTTCAGCTTTTCAAATACTGTCAAATTCTCTTTGATTAGAGGTTTGTTCAGTAACTCTTCAAGATTATGAGAAGTGTTGTGAGCAGACACGGCGTCTACCTTTGCGATGTTAAATACATGTGCAATTTCTTTTTGGATGAATACGATCTGATAGGCTGGTTTCTTATTCAGAGTGAAATTGCCCAGCGAACGGTGGTCGAAGTCAAGACCGGAGAACAAAGACCTGAAAACGTTTATTAATTCCTCTAAACTCGCCTCTTCGTGAAGCATATATACAGGCGCGCGAGTGTTGAAACGATCGGATATAATTTTGTTAAAATCAGAGGGATCATTATTTACATTATTAAAAGAGCCAGCAAACCTATCATAAATCTGCTTTGTTTCATCTAATTCATTTTTGAAATTTCTCGTTAGATATTCTTTTAATTCCTTATTCGGAATTCGCAATAAGTAGTAATTTTCTGATGATTGCATGTCCGGTTTTGCATCGACATATCCGACATGGGTCATAAGAGTCCAATAAGACTCTTCCGTTTGTATCAGATTCTCAAATATTAAATAATGGTTGAGTTCTTTTCTTAATGACCGTCCACTCAGCAGAAAATAGAGGTCTAGCATACCGAACTTGCCTGAACACTTAATAAGGTGTGTGATCATCTTCAGAGAGCCTGATTCTGCCAAGTAATCATCAAACATATCATTATGGATTGCTGACACAACAGCATACGGGTTGAATATGACATTACCGGCATAGTGGTAGCCATCATACCATTCTTCAAATCCTTCAAATGTTAAGTTCGTCCCCGTGGAATCAATCAGCCATTTGACCTCGTGATCCAAAAAACCGAAGTAGGGTCCAAATTTATAATCATCAAGGGTGGTGTAAGCCATGACATCCGAAAGATCAGAAGAAATGCTAGATTTTGCTACACTGGTAATCCCAAGTAATATACCGCAATCAATAGAGATATCTAGACCACCCTTGAAGAAAAACAAGTAAAACTGCCGCATCAAAATCACAATTCTTGAATAAAATTCACCAAGAACGAAAGGCTTTCCCTCTGCAGTTTCTGATATTGCTTTTTCAATTGCCAGATGAAATGGCGCATCATATTCGTCGATTAAGACAGCTATTTTGTAACCGTTAGCTTGGAGTTTCCTTATCAGTAGGTGATATCCATTCAGAACTACTTGAAGGCCTCCGTTCTTATAGTGTAAGTACACTTTTAGCATTTTTTCATCCATTGGATCAAGAAACCGACGGTAATGACCAAAGATAGCATATAGATCCCGTCTTAGGTATATAAGGAAGTCGTTTTCAAACTCCAAAGCCGTAGAGGCGAGGGAGACACTCATCAAACTAAAATGAAAAACAACATACTTGTGCTGATGTTTCATCCTAATTTTTTCGAACTTTGTATCGTTCTGGATACTAAAACCTGCAAAAAAGTCCATTGCTTCTACCTTTTCATCCTTGGCCAGGAAGGTTCTTAGCATTGACAAGTTCGTGGTTTTTCCAAACCGACGGGGTCGCGTAATCAGCTTCAGTCTAGGTCCTGTAAGTGCTTCCCCGATCCATGAGGTCTTGTCCACGATGAACCTGTTATCCGTGACCATTTTTGGAAATTGATGGTCTCCATATGGTACCCGTTCCCTCAAGTCATGAGGATGAGCCTAAAAGGAAGAAGACAATTTATTAAGGGTAAGTAAAGAGCAGTGGCGTACGAGGGAGGGGCCAGGGCCCCCCCCCCCCACTACAATTGAAAACATAGATAGAAAATGTTTTTTTGCTCCACCCTAGGGGGCATATCAATATTATGTAAGATAATTGGATTGCATATTGCAAAAAGGAACCGCTAGCATTGCAATGTTGCTAAGATTGTGCAACTTCTTTTGCCTTGGAGGAAAAACCCGATTATCCCTTAATAGTTTCTATTTTACTCGCTAAAAACTGTAAATTTAAGAGAAAAATTACCATCTAAATTTCATAGTTTTTCACAATTTCCGCAATTTTATTGCAAAGGATGAAGTTGCACAATCTTAGCATCATTGCAATGCTAGTAGTTCCTTTTTGTAAAATGCAATCCAATTGTAATGTCACTTCAACCTTTCTATCAATGTTGGTGCAATGTTCAGGCAATTTCCTGGCAGTAGCACATCAACATTGATGCAATCTTACTTTATTCTCACTAAGATCGATATAATATGCCTGCGATGTTTATGTGTAAAATGTGCAATATTATACTAAGATTGTATTAAGTTTCTATGCTGAGTGGACGAAAAGAGAAGAAGAAGAACACTAAGAAGAGGGAGAAAAAAAATAAGCAGGGGGAGAAGGAGAAGAAATAGAAGACTAGGGAGAAGAAGAGGAAGAAAGAATAAAGAAAAAATAGGAATAAGAATTCGGAAACAAAAAGGAGGAATAAGAAGAAGAATTAAAAGAGGAAGAAGAGGAAGAATGAGAAGAGGGAGAGTAAGAAGAAGATATAAAGAAGGAAAAAGAAGAAAAAGAAGAGAGAAGAAGAAGATAATGTGGAAGAGAGAGAAGACGAAAAAGAAGACGAAAAGGAAGAATAATAATAATAAGTTTTTTCAGTGCTGGAAAATGATGCCTATAAATTATATTGGGACTTTACCATCTATACCGACAAGACCATCTCGCACAATAGGCCAGATATGGTCCTTCTAGATAAAAAGCAAGGCATATTGTTCACCTAATGGATATCTCAGTCCCTGCTGATGCCAATGTAGATGTTAAGTATAGAGATAATATCGAAAAGTATCTGCCCTTAGCAACTGAAATACAGCGACTGTGGAGGCTTAAAGAAGTAATTATTGTACCATTTATAATATCCGTCACGGAGATCACTCCTCATTCTTTCCTGAGACATCTGAAGCAGCTCCACTTGGGTGAAAACGTTCACACCCAAAGCCAGAAAGCTGTTATCCTGCACACCTGTAATATCACTAGATCTTTCCTAAGCTCAGGGCAGTGACTGTATTTTTATTATTTTTAATTATGTGACCGACTGCTAACATAGCCGTTTGGTTTATGCTCTTTTATTTTAACAACTTTTTTTAAATTTTTAACAACGTTTTACGATTTTAACAACTTCTTTCGATTTTAACACCTTTTTACGATTTTAACACCTCAAATTTTAGCAGTTTTAAAAGGCTCTAGCTTTGAAATACTTGGCTACGGTCCGTCTTTCAATGAGTTTCTTTCCACAAACGTTTTTTTGTGAGGAAAGTACTTATATGAATAATAATAATAATATTAATAATAAGAAAACGAGGGAGAAGAGGAAGAAGAAGAGGATTGTGACATACTCATATGACTGCGTAAGAACATTTAATCTCGCATTTTAAAAAATGAGCTACAAATCGTACCTAGTTCCTTGTCGCAAAATGCAGTCCATTTTGCAGTAAGGAACCATAATAAGTATGTGGCTCATCCATGAATGCACCTGTCTGCATTTGGAGAGTCAAACAGGAGAAAGGAGGGAAGGGACAGGAAGAGGTCGGAAAGGAGGAAAAGAATGAGAGAGGAAAAGAAGAGGAGGAAAAAGAAGGGGAGAAAGAAAGAAAAGAGACGAAAGGAGAGAATGAAGAAGAGGAACAATACGAGGGAGAGGAAGGGAAATGATAAAAATGAAAATATAGGAAAAAGAAGATGAAGGAGAAGAAAGATGGAAAGAAAAATAGGAAAAATAATACAGAAAGGATAAGGACGAAAAAGAAGGGAAAGGGAATTGATATTATTAATATTATTATCACACTCACCTGAGAAATGAAAAGCATGTATAAGAAGAGCATTGTGATGTGAAGGTGATTGAAACAGAAGCAAGACCGGCCAAAGATGTCACCCATGCTGATACTCGAGAGCTCACTATAACTTGGCTCGAAGCGTTGATCGCTCGACCTCTACGTAATAAATGATACGTGTGATATATTTTCCATACACAAGAGTCACACTGTTATCGGTATCTCTTGAACTTAGACCTCGTGATAACACCCGGCGGCCCGAACATCCGATCGCCGCACCGAATGCACTCTTACCCTACGCATCGAGCGCTAGAGAGGTCACCACTGTTTTACTTCCGATTTTTACTGTTGTTTTTGTGTAATAAATTATACAGGGTGTTTCAGACCACCCGTACCAGGCCTTTTTCTCGGTTGGTATAGGTCGTACGAAGTCGGAGACCGCGGGGTTGAATAGGGAATTGACCCCAAGGAATCCGAATTTTGTGGTCCCGAAACCCTCCCACCCCCCCTTGGGGGGTAAAGGGGGGGTCACGATGCTTAAAGTCACGGTTCCCGACCAAATTGCGGATAGATCGCATCAGAATTGAAAAGCACGGAAAATTTCACGTGGAATTGACCCCTAAAAATCCAAAATCGGACCATCCAAGGCCCAAAAATGACCCTTTAAAGAGGGGGACAGTACCCCCCTCCATACTTTCTCTTTGGTCTCAAAATTGACGTAAATTCTCCAGAAAAAGGCAGTTTCCGAGGTAATCGACCTTGAGAAATCCAAATTTCATGGTCTCGAAGCTCCTCTAGCTCCCCTTGGGAGGTAAACGGGGGGGGGCCCAATTTTAAAAATCGGGACTCCTTTCCGAATCGCAAATTGATTGCATCCAAATTGAGGAGCAGAACACATTTACATCTTAAGTGACTCCTAAGAGTTCAAATTCACCCCCCTGAACGGCAGAAAGTAATCCCCTGAGGAGGGGGGCCTCGCCCCCGACAAAAATTTCTCAGGATTCCTCTTTGGTCGCAAAATTGACGCCAATTCTCCAGAAAAAGATGGTTTCTCATGTAATCGACCCCGAGGACTCTAAATTTCATGTTCCCTGAGCTCCTCGGGGTCGATTACATGGGAGACCGTCTTTTTCTGCAGAATCGACGTCAATTTTGCGACCACAGAGGAGTCTTGTGAAATTTTTGGCGGGGGCGAAGCCCCCCTCCTCAGGGAGTTACTTTCTGCCATACAGGGGGTCTATTAGAACTCTTAGGAGTCACTTAAGATGTAAATGTGTTCTGCTCCTCAATTTGGATGCAATCAATTTGCGATTCGGAAAGGAGCCCCGATTTTTAAAATTGGGCCCCCCCGTTTACTCCCCAAGGGGGGCTAAAGGAGCTTCGAGACCATGAAATTTGGATTTCTCAAGGTCGATTACCTCGGAAACTGCCTTTTTCTGGAGAATTTACGTCAATTTTGAGACCAAAGAGAAAGTATGGAGGGGGGCACTGTCCCCCTCTTTAAAGGGTCATTTTTGGGCCTTGGATGGTCCGATTTTGGATTTTTAGGGGTCAATTCCACGTGAAATTTTCCGTGCTTTTCAATTCTGATGTGATCTATCCGCAATTTGGTCGGGAACCGTGACTTTTAGCATCGTGACCCCCCCTTTACCCCCCAAGGGGGGGTGGGAGGGTTTCGGGACCACGAAATTCGGATTCCTTGGGGTCAATTCCCTATTCAACCCCGCGGTCTCCGACTTCGTACGGCCTAAAGCAACCGAGAAAAAGGCCTGGTACGGGTGGTCTGAAACACCCTGTATTAATTTATTCCAAGTTTTCTCCATTACATAATTGGCGCAGTCAGTAATCTCCGCGAAGGATTCTTGCTTTCATCGCGAAGTGTCAAGTTTGCCTAAGTGTCGACCCACCTAATCGCGGAAACGGACCCACGTTCCACGGATTTTTTTTTTTTTTTTTTTTTTTTTTTTTTTTAATGGCATTGTCTCTAATTTTTATGATACCTCCTCTGACACCCCTCCCCAAAACTGGTTGATTTTAAGTCATATCAAAGCAAAAATTATAGGAGACGCAAAAATTATAGGAGACGCAAAAATTAAGCTAGCAAATCATGATCTTTCTTCCTGGGAAAAAATTAAACGAGCGCTTTTAGATACTTATGCTGATAAGCGAGATCTGGGAACATTGACAAAGGAAATGTATCAAATTTCTCAAGTATCCTTGATCCTGTTCCTTGCATCTGGGTATTTCTCGGAAAATTTCAAGACCATCAGCTGCGACGAAAAAAAACACTAGAGAAGTAAAATTAAAAATGAAATTAGAAAATTTGAGCCACAATGAGGCATCTCGGGGAGCTTTGCCACGCTCCGGCGTACGTCGCACGTCGGCGGAACGTCACGCGGAAGGCGCGCGGAAAATTGAAGTTATTTCACCGTTGCCAAATTTAAATTTAAATGGATTTTCGTCGCCGGCGACCCCTGGCGCCCCCGGGGTTTCCCCTCGAGCGGGGACGGCTCTCCGAGCGGCCAACACCGCTCCTCCCAAAACTAACAACTTACCCAAGGAGCGCTAATGTAAGAGTATCTTTGTCATAATTTCTCGTGACACCCATTTTAACGAGTCATTACCCAGCCTCACAGGCGCAGGGCCCGGGCNGGGGGGGGGGGGGGGGCGAGGGCGCGAGGGGGTGCTTATTTACTGTAACAATGCACTCGTGTTCGCCAGTAACGGAATTAATGAACTGTGCTTTCCTCCGACGATGTATTAAGGATATTGCCAGCTTCATTGTCACCGATTTTTCGCCCCCCTCCCCCGCTTCCTCTCTCCTTTATTACGCTTATTTTGAATGATAATGAGAAAACGACGAGGCGACTTTGAAGCTCCCACCCCTTCCTCCACCGCATTCTTAAAAAGTTAATGGCACTTGAGTCTGCTCAACATCACGGGTCATCATCAGGGTGGCCGGCCGCAGAATCCGCGATGTTTTTCTCCATCGAATGAGAGCCAAGCGCGTACTCTAAACTTCTCAAGGGTGAAAATGTCACAAACTCATTTTTATAGTTTTAAATGAAGGCACAAGAAATATTTGGCCCGATTTATTCTGATTACGGTTTTCATCCCACCTTTCCACCTCAATAATAATTATCCGACGGGGTGTTTGGGGGGGTGGGGGGCGGCAAATTTCTTTAGCGGTAGGACCCAAAGATGGATATCGTCTACATAATGTCGGTGAAATAATGAATCTCGGTCTCGGACAATTCTTGTGTCAAGGGCAGTGCTCCTATTTCTCGGAACTATTACAAAATTTCGGAACTTATGAGATTCACCCGAATTTTTCCCCGGAACTTTTGAAATTCCCAAAATGTTTCGGATCTTTTGCATTTTCCGGAACTTTCTCGAAAATTTTGAAGAAATCTAAAAGGGATCCCGGAACTTTTGACGGTCCTGGAGTTTGGTAAATCGGAACAAAATAGTTCCGAATCGCGGAACTTTTGACGGACATGGAGTGAAAGCACTGGTCAAGGGGAGGATGTACAATACACCAAAGTTGCTCTCAGCACTCTCTGGTGCTCTGCGACACGTAGCTACCGAGGTCTCATATCGATGGAGAAACCTCCAAACCACGTATCTCGGTTTGCGATGTTGCAGACCTCTTGCCATAGTTTAATTTTCGAATGCAGAAGAACTCTGCCGTGCTAAGTAAAAACGCCGTATGAACATTCAGGCGTTCCCAAATTTTACTTTAAAAAATCACTTTTCAGGAAAATTTATAAATATTTCTCTTCCCATTTTTCCGAGTGTTTTGTTCTCAATATGACCTAAAAAATCTGAAAATTGCAAGGAAAAATATTCATAACTTTCCTCAAAAATAAACATTTTATCGAACTAAATTTGGCAACTCTGGAATGTTCATACGGCGTTCTTCCTTAGCACGGTGGTGCTTTGAGCTACTTCATAAAAACTTCTGTGATTTTGTTGCTCATTGTGAGACAAATTCTGAAATAAACGTTTGAGCAAAAATTCTGAAAATAAGATGTTATGTTGATTTGTTCCACTGTGAAAAAATAAAACAGGAGCGTAGATTTTTACCCACCTCAAACAAGATACATAATTTGGGAGTTTCACCGTCATACTCTCAAATCCCCTCAGGGAGTTGCAACTCCCTCAATTTTTTTTGCAAAACCCCCTGTCGCCATAATTTTACCAGGCCTTCTTTACCTTCTCCCAGTAGGAGCCCTTCCAAGCATCCTCTGGCAGCCTTTCCTCTTTTTTTGAAGGATTTTTGATGATCGAGCAAAAAAGGCCCGGAAATAAAATATAACAATAATCTATCCTGATGAACTAAAATGAGGGTGCAGTTAGAGTAGATGTGCGTGTGTGAGTATAATGAGGCTCGTAATATTTATATAATTGATAATAATTTATTTATCACTTCCACTCACAGTATGCTCAAATAGTACTTCATAGTTACTATATTGTGCATAGTATGCTGTCTCGGCTGTAGGTAAAAACAAGCAGGAAGCTCCAACGCATTCGCGTCGGAGAGCGGCTCTGGCGACAGTAGTTGTAGTCAAGAATGAGGGCCTAGACACATTTTGTCACTGATGTACAATCCGACAACTGTCGATTCATGTTTTGTAACTTAGCAGATTTACGTAGCCGGTGTATAAATGTGTATTGGCCCTTGATATGCAGAATGCATGGCACTATCACTTGTTGTATACTTTTAATTTTGAAGGCTCTTTGGAGGTCCGCATCCTAAAAAATTTCTCCCACAGTATTTTTTTTTTAACTTGTCGTTGTGATTGGGCGCCAATTTCTTTCAATTGAGTGATCATCTTCTTTTTTTGTCAAATAACTAGTTTGTGCAACAATAAGACTGAAACTGACTGTAACTGAAATTTTGTCTTTTTAGATATTTGGTTATTTTGTATTTATTAGATTGTATATTTTCACAGCCCTGTGATAAGAAACTTTGGAATGCATGGTTGCGATAAGTCGTTTAGCGAGGCTGTAAAAAATTTGCATTTTTATATCTGAAATTGTAGGTAATGGTTTTGAATATCGAATTGCGATATATTACACGGTTAAGATACGGCTATATGTCTTGTCGTAAGCGGCGACATAGAGTCGATGTCATTTCAATAATCGCCCCGATGGCCACGGTAGTTGTGTGCCGTCTGCCCACGTAGCAAATGGGAGGCGAAAATGGAAGTCATCAGTGCATCGGTGAG